CCGGGAAGCAGCCCCCAACGCATTTCCCAAGCAGTTTAGTAGGGTTAGCCAAGCAAAAACAGAGTTATTCAATAGTTCCCCATTGTTGTGGTGCAATAGTAGTGGGAGACGCATAATTTGCAGAAACGGTTTGGTGCGATATACTTGGACAATACATATATTGACGCGGAGCGGCTGGAATTTCCCCCCAGAGAAGAATCGCTGGCGAATGCTGTTGCTCTGCTGAGAGAGCTGTTGTTCAGTGGTGCGCAGCCGATAGTGATCGCTGTCCCGAAAGTTGGCCGTGAACAGTTCCTTGTTGGTATTGCTAAGCAATTACAGGTACTTTTGTATGTTTCAGAGTTTCTCCCTTATTGCTAAATACAGCCGTTTTGATTCGCTAGAGAAACTATATCGAAAACGAACCTTCTTTGCCCGATTTGTTTGATCAGGGGACAATTTGAACCACTGTTTTCATTACATGCAATTTCATTTATTATGCTGTACTCGACCACTACACTATCGGCATTTGCTTCTGCGTTGCTGGCGCAAGTAAAGATGCATATAATTTAACTATTTTCACGGAAATTCTACGAAAAAATAGTTTTTATGATTTATTGTATTAGGGCGCAAAAAAATTTTCTTAAATTTGAATAATGGTTCTTGAAATTGGGCAACAGCTACACCACTGGATTTTTATGGCAGTACTTGAAAATGCCAGAAATCTGTTACATACTTTCATAGTATTGCAGTAATGTTTGTCCTTTGAAGCGCAAAATATATGTTGACGATGTACGCTATGAAATAGCCGAGATTCTTGGCTTGAGCGAATATTTTACAACTAATCGAGATGATGCCAGCATTTGGGCTTGCAACAGGAGGTAAGTCTTTTTTTTTTTTGCTTCGCTTAAATATATTTGTCTAGGCTTCTGCATAATTTCAACCTGGGTTTTGTTCATGGTGTAGGTCATCACAGAAAGAAACCCTACTTTTTAATACATGTCAAGACAAACTTCTGGACGGAGGTCATTCACAATTCCACAAATTAATTTCTGTCCGGCCCTGGTCGTAGCTGTCTTCAGATGCGAAGAAATCAAAAGGTGAAAACTCTTACAGGGTCTAGTTTACAAGAAACGTGAAAATGCACACAGATGCCTAATAGTGCTCTGTCAACAACAACCACAGGTTGGTAAAGTTACCCGAAGTCCCCAACTCCAAAAATACTTAAAGACAGCTTGATTTTCTAAGAGGCAAAACAGGTACAAATCTTAGAAATCTTCAAAATTTACAAATCTTCAAATCTTCAAAATTCTTCAAAATTTTGGCAACTCCGGA